TTCCAGTACTTTTTAATATTTTTTTTTTTATTTTGAAACTTAGCTTCAAGTTGCTATGTGGCCCAGGCAGGGCCCAAACTTGTGATCCTTCAGCCTCAGCTTCCCAGATTACTGGGATTACAGGTATGGGCCACCATACCTAGCACAAAGGCTTTTCTTGATGACACAGGTTTTCTTGATAAAAGAGCTTTTTTCAACATAATTACTCTGATCAGATTTTACATTTCTTCAGAATTCTTAGGTTGTAGAGGTCTAGGAATTTACCCATTTATTCTTGGTTGTCCATTTTGTTGGTTTATAATATTTTATTGCTGTCCTTTTATGATCTTTTGTATTTCTGTGGTGTCAGTTCATGATATTATCTTTTTAGATTCCAGGTTTATTTATTTGAGTCTTGTCTCTTTTTCTCTTAGTCTAGCTAACCATTTGCATTTTTTTTTAAAAAAAACTAGCTTTTAGTTTTATTGTTCTTTACTATTGATTTTTCTCTCATGTGGAAATTAATGAGACTGATGCTAGAAAAGCAATTTTTTTAAAAACTAGGCTCTAAATGTCAGAAGATTGATCAATTTTTCATGACTATATTTTGCAATATGAACAACTACTTTGAAGATAACAATACACAATGTACTAACCATTGTTACTCTCCTGTTATCTTGTTTTGGAATTTTATACCATTGTTTTTATTGTTTATTTTCTTTTCTTTAAAAAAAAATTAAAAAAGAAGAATCCTCAAAAGGCAGAAGCAGAAAAGGAACAACTAGAAAGATGGCAGCTGAGAAGGAATCAGCCCAATGTTGCTGGCTTTCAAGATGGGAGATCCACGAAAAACAGACTGCCTAGAAACTGGAAAGGACCAGAAAATAAGTCAATTTTCCCCTACTGCCTCCTGTAGAAGAGACTGCACTCTGCTAACCTCTTAATGTCAATGCAGTGAGATCTAATTTGGAATTTTGACCTCCAGATATGTAAGATCACAAATTTATATTGTTAAAGTCACTAAAGCTGTGGCAATCTGTTACAGCAGCAATAGAAAACTAACATCACAGTGGTTTGAAAGTCTTCCATAATTTCAACATCTATATTATCTCAAGGTTGGACACCATTGTCTATTTTTCCTCAACTTACAGTTTTCCTAGTTCTTCCTAAACTGTAGAATTTTAGATTATATTCTAGATGTTTCAAATGGTTTGAGATCCTGAGTCTTGTTTAAGCCCTAAGGGTAATTTTGGTATTTTAAAAAAGCACTTCATCCAGCTAGTGTAGTGCCGCAAATTTCAGTCCACCTTCTATGTGCTCTGTTCAGGTCTGTTCAGCCCTCGCTGTCTTTACTGTGCTATTTGAATCTGTTCAGTTCTCAAAGTTTTCACTGTGCTCTTTCAAACTTGCCTAGTTTACCAAACCTCTATGTACAGACCGTCCAGTGGTCAATCTGACACCAGAGCTGTAGCCCATCCACCGTTCAAGTCCCAAAGCCTTTGACACACTATTTAGGTTACATGAGCATATGCACAACTAAAAGTTGAGCTCAGAAGTTCACATTCCACTTTAGGAGATGGCTTTTTTGAGTTTCGTCTTCACTGCAATCTCCCCAGCCCTCTTCCATTTTTTTAAATCCCCTAATTTTGGTCCTCCAGCCAAAAATGTGGGGCAGGAGTATTCCCAGCCTAAGAGAAAAACTAAATATACTTCCCTGTACCAGCTGAGAAAAGGCAGGAATATCTGAACAAGACCTACAAAGGTCAACTGAGGGCTACACTCTGTTCTCAATCCTAAAGGGAAATACTGTTTGGATAAGATTCATATGCAATGAAAATAAGACATATAAACTTCAACAGAATATACTAAAGGAAAACAATAAACATTTTATCCTGAGATCATTGTAGATTTACAGGCAATTTTCAGAAATAATAGAGAAATCTCATGTGCCTTTTGTCACATTTACCCAATAGTAACATCTTGCAAAACTGTAGTAAAATCACAACCTATATATTGACACTGAAATGGTGAAGAAAAAAAAATTTCCTCACACTTTCTTCTTATATCTTAACCCTGGCAACTAGTGACTTATTTCTTCTCTGTGTCTATGATTTTGTTTTTGTTTTTGTTTTTTTGGTTTGTTTGGTTGGTTTTTTTTTGTTTTGTTTTGTTTTTTCTGGTACCAGGAATCGAACTCACAACATCGTGCTTGCCAGGCAGGCACTGTGCCGCTGAGATAAATCCCCAGCCCCTTGTGTCTATGATTTTGTCATGGCAAGAATATTATGGAACAGAATCACATAATATACGAGCTATAAATATGAGCAACAAAAAACAAGGAGTTTGTACAAGATGTTTAATATTAGACAAAAAAAGAGAAAATTTTCTTTAAAATACCCTAGTAGTAGCAGGGCCAGAATCAGCACTGAGAGCTCAATTTCATGGTTGGCCCAATTTCCTTATTCTTGTAAAAGCCTCTCACACAGAGATTGCTGTGTTGAATATTTTTATCTCCTCCCTCAAAAAACTCACATGTTGAAGTGTTGAGGACCTAATCCCCAATGGTATGATAATAGGAAATAGGTCATCACTTTATGGAAATGATTAGATCATGATTATTAGATCTTGAATGAGATTAGAACTCTTACCATGAACCCTTCCAAACATGAAAGAGATTAGCACTCTTATAAGGAACTCTACTCCCAAAAATAAATAATAAAAAGACCTCAGAGAGATTTGTGGCCCTTCTAGTATTTGAAGACATGGTGAGAAAATGACCATCTGTGCTCAAGAAATAGAACCTCACCAAACACTAACACTAGACTCTCCTTTCCTTTCCTTTCCTTTCCTTTCCTTTCCTTTCCTTTCCTTTCCTTTCCTTTCCTTTCCTTTCCTTTCCTTTCTTTTTTTCCTTCAGTGAATGTATGTGTGTGTAAGTGAATGGGGGCAGGTACTGGGGATTGAGCCCAAGGCTTTCTTCGTCAGCTATATCCACGAGCTTATTTCATTTTTTTTATTTTGAGGCAAGGTTACACTAAGTCACTAAGTTGTCCAGACTGGGCATGAACTTCTAATCCTTCCATCTCAGCCTCCCAGAGTGTAGGAATTATCGACGTACACCACCATGCATGGCTCTGGACTTGATACTGGACTTCCCACCTTCCAGAAATGTGACAAATTAGTTTCTATTGTTTGTAAAACACCCAATCTATGGTGCTGTGTTAGAGCAACCCAAACAGACTAAAAGAAAGATGCTGTACACATATGTACTCACTCATTTCTTTTATGTGTGTATAGATATATTTTAAAACTCTATGCTTTTTTCAAGAAACTCTAAGGTCTTTTGCTCTCCATGATACATCTGACCACATGTCACCATCATCACATAATGCTCTTCTTCTTTGTCATTTTCTCAGCCATTGGTTTCTTTCATTTCTTATCAAAGATTTTGAATAATTTGGCTTGTGGTCGGTCTAAAAGTCTGACATCCTCTAGGTAGACTTCAACATTCATGGAGGCAGATATTCCAGTACCTACAGCTCTTTGTTCCTGAATCTTCTCAGACCTTTATGAGTTGTCATAGGGCAAATCAACTTCCTCTTACTGTAACTGTAACCACACATTTTCTCTCCTACTTCATACCTTTTTATTAGGTTTTTCCCAAAAGAATTTAGGTACATTCAAATGTCTCCCATATGAAAGAAAGAAAATCTCTGAGCTCCCCAATATTCTATCAATTAAATGTCTCAAGAATTCTCTTCTAACCTTTCTTTCAATTTCTCTCCTGCACTCACTTCTCAGCCCAGTACTTATTCTGGTCCACAGGGTTTCATCATGAACAGCTTTTCCTTCTCACTCTACAAAGAAAACAAGATGTCTTAGACACCAGGCCTTCACCTGCTATTTGTATTCTAATGCTCCTAAATCTACTTTTCTAAGCCAGGTCTTTCTCAGCCTCAGATCTGTATATTCAACAGTCTACTGAAGCAGTATCATCCATTTGGATGATATTAAAAGTCAAACCTAGACTTTTAATATATAAATTTATCTTCTGTTCTCCAAAACCATTTCTCCTACTCTTGTCTATACTTCAATAAATGGAATCACCAGCCATGCACTTGAACAAACCTGGAGTGTAATGCCTGGTTAAACTCAACTTTTCACCCCAGCTTAGTCAATCACTCTTACTTGTCAACTCTTTCTTACATTCACTGACTTCTGCTTAATCATTACTAGTACCTCAATTCAGGTCACCATCACTTACTACCTAGAATGGATGACTGAACAGTCTTTCTTTATTTATTTAAATTATTATTAATAAATAACTTTACCAGTTATTTATTTAGCATTTACCACATGCCAGACATTGTTCCAAGCACTTCAAATATACCAGCAAATAAATAGATGCCAAAATCCTTGCCCTCCTAGAGGTCACTATACACTGAAGCAAGATAGACAAAGATCTACAAACATTGTAGATCAGTACATTATATAGTATGTAGTAGGAAGTAAGAAGTACAGCTGCAAAAAAGGAGTGAAGTCAAACAGAAAAAGAGAGATGCTAAGAAGTTAGGGTGGGATTGCTTCTAGTATTAAATAAAGATGGTATCTCAATGTTTGGGAGGAGGAGAAACTGGAAGCATGATCAGTTAAGAAAAACTGTGTAACTGGACTACACAAAGAGTTTTTTAGAACTGTGGAAAGAAGGCAGAAAACTGAAACACAGAAATTTAGTCAGATTAGAATCTCAGGTGCCAAGGGAGGAGAAAACCTTGAGGCAGGCTGGTAAGCAGTGCCAGGTAGTACAAAGACAACCTCAAATCCCACTGCACTAAAATACAATAATAGCATGTACACTGTCAAACAGATTAATGACAGGGGCTCTGTTGAGAGACCCTGACCCACAGTTTTTTGGTAAAATAACATGCTTTTAAGTTTGGCTTCCTGCCTTGGTAAGGGAAACATTCAAATGGAGACACTGTCACTTTCTGTGAGATTCTTAAAAAGAAAACAATGCCTACCTTTGTGTGGTCTTTTGATGCCAAGAAAATGAGCCAGAATACTAAGGTAAATATCAGCATTAGCAATAATTTGCGAACTATGGCATTTGGAAACAATGCAAGTATCCTAGAAGAGAGGATAGGAGAAATAATGACACACTTAGTCAAATCAACCCGATATGTCTCTGTGTACTCCACTTCCCCCTCAGTAGTGTCCAGAAGAGGGTGATGATCCCTGGGTGTTCAGAGTTCCTGTTAGAAATCAGAAACAAGGCTCTTCCCTGAGACAGGGAACAAAACTAGCTGAAGAATCGCTGGTTTCTGACTTTCAGGTTAATTCTTCTGTTTTGGAATCACATCATGTCTCTGAACCATTTCTTTCATCCAGGATTCAGTGTGAGCAGCAAGGTTTTAGTGATTGCTTACTGAAAGAAATACTTTTGTCCTGGTGCCCTGTAATAGATGCCAGTCTCTAAATTCCACAGACACACACACACATACACACATGGGATAGTGTCCTCCTCTGGTCTTATTTACCTCCAGAGGCTTAGTCATAAATCTCCTATTATTTTTTGTAGATAGCTTGCTTCCACATCAGATTTTTATTGCCTCATGCTAGAATAGTTGATAAATAGCTCCCCAAACAGCAATCTTTACAGTATTCAGAAAAGCTCAGTGTTAGTGGTCGAAATTATACTTTTAATTTTCATACTCAGACTCCCAAAAGTGTGTGGCAAAGAGGGAAATTATTCCAATGTTCCTCAAACATTTTTAACTGGCCCCACAGGGGGAAAAACATCAAATACCAATTCAGGACCTATGAACACACAAAAGCGTACATCAGAATTCTCATGAGATGATACCTACTGTATGAAATGCACTGTGTTATTTTCTAGTTATTCTACTTTATTCCATTGTTTTCCATTTTAAAGTACACCCCATCCCCAAATAAAATTACTTTGCTATCCCCAACGTGCTGCCTTATGCAGCACTGATTAGGCCATGGTTCTCCCTCTTGTCTCTGACATTAAGGCCTACCGGTAAGAATCAGAAGGTACACACCTATGGACGCATGTCTTCTCCATCATATTCTTATGTTCTCCCACAGCAATTGTAGCTGTCCAGAGAATCTCCTCGATTAAAGCAGTCTCTGCACTTATTTCAGGCTTGCAGTTTCCCTATAAGCTTCATTGATCAAAGGCTGACGCCTGCCAGCTGGTATCACAAGCCTCCTTTTCAGTGACCTGTTCCTGCTCATGCTACAGAGCCAGAAGAAAGAAGCCAGGAAGACACTCTGAAGTTTGCTTTCAGAGAATGGACTTCTAAGGGCAAGGTAAGGTCAGTCACCTTTGGACGAAGATTTGCATGTTTATAGAGAGTACACTTCACTTGCTCACACCTTTGTTTGGCTCGTGTGTTGATTTGTCAGTCAGTTCCAGGATAGCAGAAGGAGAACCTGAAAAATTATAAAGAGGGCAAACAGAAACTCGTGTCCACAGCTCAGAATGGCTAAGAGTTCATTGCTGACTCTTCTCAGTATTCGGAGTGCTTTCTTTGTAAACTTCTCTCCCTTGCTCTATACCACTGCATACATCGAGCATTTCAACAATGATGATTTTTTTAATTGAATCTCAGATCATAAGGGAGCAGTCCTGGTCTGTACCTCACTGCAACTTGCATAAGAGAGACTACAAAAGAGCAGAACTCAACAGATGTAAGTGTCAAGATATTAAAATTAATAAGTTGTCACAGAGCAGCTATTGGCCAGGGGACCTGCTACTACTATGTGGCACAAGACCACATTCTAGACCGTGCTCCACCAAAAGGTCTCTGTATGTAAATATGTCTGTATATAGACATAGACAATAGATATCTAGATTTAGATATGTACATAGACACATGTATGTTTCATGTATACTCAGATATGTGTATGGATTTATTTGCTTCTATCCCAATTGCTCCAGGTATGTACCCATATAACTATATGAATACCAAGACTACAATCACAACATGTGGGAAATTAACAAAGGGTGGTTTTTTGATAATTTTCATCCACATACTAATCAGGCCCGACCCTGCTTAGCTTCCAAGATCAGATGAGATTTGACACGTTCAGGGTGGTATGGCCATAGACTTTTTGATAATTTTCAAAGGAATTTAACAAAATAAAAGAGCTAGAAATCCTGCGAATTCTTCCCTCCTTCTTGTAAGGCATGTTCCTCCCCACTGCCATATGCTATGTATAATGTTGTAAGATAACAGTCAGGTACCACATCACCTCATTCCAGGCAATGACTGGCTGCATCTAACTGGTGGTCTCATAAGATTAAATTGCTTAGTGAAAGATTAAGTTTAGGTTGAATAAAAACGGTGCTGGTAAAGACCAGCAGCAAAATACAGCCTCTCCAAGACTTGGAATCAGGACACAAAAAAACAACTTAATGAAGAAAAAAGAAAAAGCAAGTATTTCTCTGAGAATCAAGAAAGTGCCAACAGGAAATCTAGAAGCTACAGGAAAACTGAACACAATGGGGAGAACAGAACAAAGCAGTTCTTTCAAGTTCAGTGGAATATTGACCTTACCTCCTAGGGAAGGATGGGTCTTCTCTATGCTGAATTAAATTAAGCCAGGAGAAGGTCAACATCTCTAGAGAAAACAATAGACTGAGCCAGTAATGCTAGCCCCAAGAAAAGTCTACAGTACTGTAAACTGGAAAAACACCATGGTGTTTTACTCAGAAAGTAATTTTCCACTGGAAGAATAGTTAGAGAGGAAATCTAGTGCAGCACCCACCACATTTGAGAATGTCTCATCGGGAGTCATTTTGGGAATTGGTTAATTATTTAAGACTGAGCTACAGAATGACTACACTTAGGGTTTCTGGGGTCACCTTACGACAGTGACTGGGTGGGAGATGATCACAAGGGACAGTCACAGAGAGGGTTGGGTTAGATACAGATCCCTGGGAAGTTTAAACTCAGGCTGGGAGGGACTTCGATATCCTTTGTCTGTAGTGAGAAGCCAGAAGGGTTGTGTGTGGTGTTTGGAGTGGCTGGGGTCTGAAAATGCAGGCATTAAGTCCATCAGACCATTTGACACACACCCTGTCCAACCCATTGCCTACCTCCAGCACAGAACTCAGTGGTCTGTTTACTTTTCCAGTTGGCCAGCATGATCAGAGATACACCTTGGCTTGGATGGTTGCCACAGACTGGGGTATATGGAAAGAAGGACTTCTGGAGCGGGATGTGGGGGAGTACCCATAAATCCATACCATAAAGTTAGGTGGAGAAAGCAATAACTTAGAGTGCAACTAAACTGGGAGCGGCTGGAGAGAACAGAGCTCTAAGTCGGACACCATTGACCAATCATGCCCAACAGGAAAAGTAGGGCGGAGCTTAGCACTCACACACAAAAATGTGAGCATGGAGAAAAAACAGAACTTACCAGTGACGCACTCTTCCTCCTTTACACGTAAAAGAAAAAAGAAAAAGAGTTCCCAATCCCTAAGAAAACCAATGACAAAAAAGAACAATAAGTCTTAACAATTCCTCCATGTTTTTGCATGAGTATTTTTTTTCAGGATCTTAAGTATGAGAATCCACCAGATAATCCAACAATTTCACTACTGGGTATAAATTCAAAGGAGATAAGTTAGTATGCCTAGGAAAATCTGCATTCTTGTGTTCATTGCAGCATAATAACCAAGATATGGCAATAATTGAGGTGTTCACCAGCAGATTAATGAATAAAGAAATTGTGATAAAGAAGGAAATCTTATAGTTTGCAATAACATGTATGGTCCTGGAGAACACTGTGCTGAGTGAAATGGATCAGACACAGAAAGACAAGCACTACTTGATCTCACTGACCTTATGTGGAATATGAAAACATCAAATTCATAGAAGTAGAGAGCAGAATAGTTGATGCTGGGAACTGGTCAAGGACAGGAGGCAATGGAGGTCAGATGATCCAATGCTTCAATTAGGATGAATAATGTTAAAGATTTATTTATACTACAGTGGAAGAGTATACCACTGTGTATACATACCACATTTCATGAATCTATATATCTATTGTCACACATGGAGGCCACTTCTGAGACTTACCTACGATGAGTTGTGTTACTATAAACATGGATATGCATGTAATACACTGTAATGTAGTGCCTTTAACTGCTTCAGGAAGATGCCTACAAGGAAGTTGCTGTATCATATAATAGTCCTGCTTTTAATTTTTTGAGGAAATTCCATACTACTTTCCATAAATGTTGTACTAATTTACAATCCCATCACCAATGCATAAGATCTCCTTTAGTCCCCATCTTTGGCAACACCTATTTTTACCCTTTCTTGGTGATTATAACACATTCTAACAAGTCTACTTTGTATGACATGGTTACCCATGATTTCTTGGTTATCACTGGCACAGAATGGGATATCTTCTTCTATCCTTTCATTGAACTAATATGATTAATTCATAGTCAGCATAAATTGGATCTTCTCTTCAAGCTTTTCAGTCATCCTTTGCCTTTTGATTAGAAAATTTCACCCACTTACATTTACATTCAAAGTAATTACTGATTGATGAGAATTTACTACTGTCATTTTTATTGTATTCTGTTTTATAATGACTTCATTGCACTATTATACTGTTACTGTCTTCCTTTGTGATTTGATGATTTATTTCTTGGGAAAGGGTCTCACTATCACAGTCCCAACTAGCCTTGAATTCATTATGTAGCCTACGTTGGGCTCAAACTAGCAATCCTCCGACCCCAGCCTTTGCTGGAATTGCAAATGTGCACCACCAAACCCAGCTTTAATTTGATGATTTTTTTGTTTTGTTTTGCAGTGGAATGCTTTTATTCTTTTCTCTATTTCTCATTAATCTTTTTTTTGTGGTTACCATGAGGCTTACACATAATATCTTACGGTAATAACACACTATTTTAAGCTAATACTAACTTAACTTGGGTAACATAAACATACAAGTGAAATCACTGACCCCAGAAAGGGTAACAAATGTGCATGCTCTTAGTCCTTTTGTGCTGCAGCCACCTATAGCACAGTAAGACAAATCCTTTGTACTTTGTACTCCCAAAATATACAATTATAATTAACTCATGCTGGTTTCATAATCTTGCTGTCCTTATATAATAGACAAAGAGCCTGGGACACACAGTGGCTACAAAACTGGTGTAAGATCACAATGTCAGCAACTGAGCCTCATGGCTAGATCTCCAACCCTGAACTGGAGGTGGTTCTCTTCTCTTTCCAATTCTCCAATTACATATGGGTAAAGTCTTACTATGTTTCTCTGAGGATCTATTTATTTTCTCATAATTTTTCTTCAGTTCTTCAAATTTCATCTTCTCTATTATCTATCTTCAAATTTGCTGATTCGTTCTTCTGTCAGTTTAAATCTCCAGGGAACTGGAGTCAGGGGTGACTTGGGCCTTGTCTTCTCAGCCTGCCACATCTGGAACAATGCTTCATCCTGTTACAACTGGAATAGTGCCTATAAGTAGAGTCTGGGGAGAGGAGAACTCAGGACTTGTTGGCCATTCCTGGCTAGAATAAAGCTTCTGCAACATAGAACTGGTGAAGATGAGAAATGCTGATGCTCTGACCCTACTGGGGAGATTCTCTTGACTGAGAGGTGAGGAAACCCACTGCACCTGCCAGCTTCTGTCATGCCGGCTGAAGAGCTGCAGGTAGGGGAGGAGAAGCAATTGCCACCGACTTGCTGTTGTTGTGGAGATTTAGAAGACTCTTTTTTCTATTTTTCAATCCAATTTCAGTATTGTTTCTTAAACAAATGCTTCAGTTTGTTGCATATTTTTGTTTACTTTCCAGATTTCTAAAATGGTTGTTGTTCAGATAATTTAATCCAGTTGTTTTATGGCATAAAACAGACCAAGATTCTTGTTCTATCTTTCTATCCATAAACGTCTGATTTTATATTTGTAATATCGATTACAGACTGACAAACTATTTATTAATATTTTATGCAGAAAATATAAAGACAAATCATAGTCTCTGTCCACTCCTGTTCTCTTTCCCCATGGGCTCTGACCAAATCCTAGCTTACTCTGTGGCTAGTTCTCTGGAGAACCCTGATTAGCATGTTCCTTGCTAGCAGGAACAGGAAGCAGACAGGCAAGAGCAGTCTCTGATCTTCTTCCTCCAGCCTTAAAGCTGTCTACAGTGCCTCTTAATGACAGATCCCAATAAAAAAGAACTGAGGTGCACAGTGTCCCAGCCCCAGAATCACAAAGCTAAATATAGAAAAGCAGTTTGGAGCTGAGACACTATCACTTAATAATAAGAACACCATCTACCTGCCTCATGTTAATTGCACTTCATTTCTGCAAACACTTTTTCCTGAATATCCTTCTCCATAATCATGGCCAGGATTCCTTCTCTGCGTACGTTTAGAACCCCAACCTCCTTGTATCACATCATTCATTATAATTTTTGTAGTTGCTTATTTTTGTGTGTGTACTGTATTTCTAAAATTAAGAATTATATCTTTTATTTTTGTAACCTCGGTATAGTAATTATGGGCATCTGGTTTAAAACAACATTTATTATCTCACAGTTTGTGTAGTTGAGAATTCCGGATTGGTTTACCTGCCCTGGATAGCTCAGGCTCAGGGCCTGTAATGAGGTTGCTCTCAAAATGGTAGCTGGGTGTATTCATCATCTGAAGGCTTGACTGGAGCTGGAAGATGCACTCCCAAGACATGCATTCATATGGCTGCTGTGATGAAGTCTCAAATCTTTGCTAGCTATTGGCAACAGACCGTTCCTCACCATGTAGAACTCTCCTAGGGCTGCTTGACTGTCTTCTTTATGTGGCAACTAGCTTCCCCCAAATAAGCAATCCAAGAGGAAAAGCAGCAAAGAAAATGAAAAGACAGTGCCTCTTATGACTGACTAAAATGCCAGCGTTTCTACCAAGTTCCACGTTAGAAGCAAGTGAAGCCCAGCCCCACATACAAGGAAGGGAAATCAGTCTCCACATCATAGAAGGAGGAATAGCCGAGAATTTATGAACATATTTTATAGCATGTTTTTTGTTTTTTTTTTTTTGTTTTTTTTTTTGTTTGTTTGTTTGTTTGTTTGGTTTTTCTCTGGTACCAGGAACCGAACTCACGACCTTGCGCTTGCCAGGCAGGCGCTTTTGCCGCTGAGCTAAATCCCCAGCCCCCTTTATAGCATGTTTTAATTAAGGAGTGATCGTCTACGACTGAATTAACATTTAGAATTGTATTACATCAGAATTAAGCTTCAAGTCAATATTTTAAAAGAAATGTACGTACTTATTACTTACAGCTGCATTTATTAAGAAACCCTTAGTGTTTTTATATCTGCTGTGCTTAGTGTTTTTGCACTAACTCTGTTTCCTGATTTATAAAATGAAAAGAAAGAATTAGAAAAGTTCAGAATGATTCCTACAAGTTCTAGAAAAGAAAAGGTAGTTCCTCTATGTTCCGTCAATCAGGATATAGACCTTCATGTAAATAGCATTGGATACTTAGACAACGCATTGAACCATATGGTCATTATAGCTCAGGTAAATCAACACTGAGCAAGTTAACAGGTACTCAAAAAAGTTTTATTGAACGAATGAAAGAATAAATA